CCATTGGTTTCACACTTGGAAATGTCCCAAGAGAGGAGGGGACCAGCTTCATTCTGATTTAAAAGGACTCATCTCCCTCACCCCACGTTTTTTGTGTACAGGTGAAATTCACCAGTGAGAAAATTGGGATTTTTTTCAAAAAATAGAATATGATCACTACCTAATTTGATAGGAATATTTGAGGAACTTTTCCTATGAAAAATAAATACTTTAAATATCCCCCCTGAAACACACACACACAAATTGTTTTTATGAGAACCAATTAATAAATGCTAATTCATTCAGGCATATCTCTACTAAATTACTGTTTCATTTAATTGCAGGGGAATTTTCCATTACTAAACTCTCCCTTGCTGATTTTTTTTGCATTATTTATATATTTTTTCAGTTTCATTAATAGTGAGATTGGTATGTGATATTATCTGCTGTTTGTACGTCTTAAATTTCTTTTTTTATTTAAAATGTTTCCTCATTCTTGCAGCTCCACGTAATCTGGGAGAAACATCATTAAAAGCAGACAAGATTTTAGACATAAATGAAAAGGCACTGGCTGAAATTAACCTGGCAGGAGCGCATCTTGTTTGATTGTGCTTCTCTCATTTCAGGCGTGCATGAGTGTGTGCAAGTACGTGTCTCCACTTTGGGTTTGTGTGGAAACGTTTTCCTGTCAGTGAGTCACAAGTTTATCTGTGGAAAGATTGTGGGTATACAGCTAGGAATGAAGATCAGGGGCTTTAATAATAAAAATAAACAACACTCAAATCTCTTTACAAGCCCCCAGAGCACAATGTGTATTTTCTTGCTTCCTTTTTATGGATACCAAATCAAGACTTTGATATCTAGATACCCAACAGCCAGAACAGCTGGCTCCTGAAAATCCTGCCTCTTTTTATGCATAGAAAAGTGGGGAGTTGCCAGTGGTGTTTAGGGGTTGCTTAGGGGCTGTGGTAGAGATCTGTGTTCAAAAGGATGTGTTTTGAAGTAGAATTCCCATTTTCTTATATTGAATGACAAAGGTCCTGTGCACCTGGCTACCTTCGCTTCCGCAGTAAGTTCTTTCATTTTTATTCTCTCCAGCCACCTTCTCCCTCTCTCTCTCTCTCCTCCCCCTCCCCCATTGCCGCCTTTAAGGGTCTTTCTTTTGCTCTTTATTCTGTCCCTTCTTTCTCTTTCACAGTAACATACTCTGGAGGATGTGAATGATTAAACTGTTTACTCCGAGGTTTAAGTACGAGAAAGCATGTCACCAAAGTAAAGTTTCACCTTCATACCCAACTCTATCAATAATTACAGAACAGGGATGATGATTAGTAAATCTTTCTTAAAATTAGCTCTTACAAAAATGATGCCATTTATTCCGAGCATACTGAGTTCTATTGATTTTACTTTTCACAAAAATTAATTACAAAGCATAGTAACCTCCAAAATGAAGTCAGCACATAAAGGGGTTGTGAGTAGATCCAGGGAAAAATATATACCCAGTAAACATGTACCCCATTAAAACTAGAGATTTGAAGTCATAAATAGAAACTTTGACATATTATTATATTAGTGGAGGATCTCCTTTGAATAAAAATATCACAATAATTAAAATTTCATGAGACTGATTTTTTGTTTTGTTTTCCTTCATCTCCTTTGTCCTCTTCAACAAAATTAGGCAGTCTTTTTGGGTATAGACTGATAAAATTAATTAACTTTCCTTCCACCCCAAAAAAGTCCCAAATAAATGCTTCCAATAGACATCAAAAAAGTGTCAATTAGAAATAATTACTTCTTATCAATCAGTGGAGCAATTAAAGTGACAAAGCTTGAAAAGATACTTATCTTAAAACTAATTCACAAGGTAGCTAAATTATCTCCTAATTAACTTGCATTGAGGAGGGTGGGAGGATGGACCATCTTGAAACAAAGATGAATTGAGGAACCCCAATACCTCTTTATGTTCCTTGAGTCTGTTTCCCATCCGGAGACCTTGTTTTCAACCCAGGCAAGAAACCTGGGAAGAAAATAGATCCTTCCCAAATGCATTTGGTCCCCTTTACTCCTTTCTTAAACCAAGAGGAGGCAATAGGGCTTTGCATCTCAGACCTAGGAAGTTAGAGGCATGTTCCTCCTTGATCTTCAGTCTTATTTGACCACTTGAATAACCTATTTTCAGTAGCTGGGGAAGAGGGTTGCCTCAAGTTATGGCACATAACTTTTAATGACAATCTACTTGCTTTTACTAAACTCTCTTCCTCACTGATAGAGTATTATTTTCATTTTAATATTTATGTGGCATTTATCTTTAAGCATTAAAAAAAATAGTATTTGCTTTAAAGGATCTTTGTTCCCTGATGCTACAAAATTCCAGTACCTTACTGACCAGAGCAATCAGAATAATTCCCTACGCGCTCTCCACAGCCCTTCAGAATAAAGCTTGTAGGGAAAAAAAATAAATAAATAAGACCTCTCCTCAAAGCAAGATCAGCCGAGAGTGAGCCAGCCCAGGGTGAGCTGCAGCGGCTGGCCGGGTGGGCAGAGGCCGCGCCGGAAACTTTTCTCCGGCTTCTTGGGGTTTTGGAAACGGTGCGCCCGGCCTCGGTCCCGCGAAAAGCCCCGTGGCCGCCTGAGCGCCCCGGGAATTTTGTTCCAGAGAAAACTTAAATGGAAGCTTTCCAGGCAAGGGCGAACTCAGGAATGGAAGTGCCTGGGGAAAAGAGGGAAGCTGCTAAAACCTGAGAGAAATGGGCTTATAAAAACCAGAGTCAGCTTATGAATTTATCTTTACATGTAATCACCGGTGTTAAGTAAACTGATTAGAAAGAAGGAGGTCTCTGGCTCAGGTTTTCGTAAGGGAATTTAGAAAAGACATGGGATAGCCTTGAAATGTTTGAGCTGTGTTTTAGGCAGTTTTCTTCTGTTTTATTAGCATTAAATTAAACGAAAGGAGAAAGGTTCATTTTCCCTCCTTGCAGCTTTATTTCTTTATTTGTTTTGGGGGAAGATTTAGAAGTAGCCCCTCTGCCTTCCTTAAACGGAAAAATAACCTCTGTCCTGGCCCTGCCAGGGAGTGGACCGTTCTCTCCCCAAACCCGAGGGCAATTTACATCTGAGCCAGTGGGGAATTGGCCTCTCATCTTCTGGGCCTGTTGCTGATTAAAAATAAAGTAAAAATAAATGGTGTCTTTTTTTTTTTCTTTCCTTCTTTTATCCCTATTTATTCTAATGAGTGCTTCTAGAATGAAAATAAGTAGCGAAAACAAAATCAAGCCAACCCAAGGGGCTGTGACCTCATCTTATTTCTAGCAACAACAGAGGAAAAGGGGTCTGGTGCCCCACGGTAAATTCGAGGTCCCAGGGCACCCACTCCTACCATCGCCTGAAAGGTCAGGGGAAGGTCGGGCTGCGGGCGGCGGGGGCGGGGGGAGATGGAATCGAAACCGAGCGGAATTGGCCGGGACCCGGCCGGCGTTAGATGGGGCACTAAGCGCTGAGCGCTCGGCCTCGGAGACCGTCCCGATCCCGAGGCACGGGCGACGTCGGTATTGTATCCCGGTTTGGCTAATGACTGCGGGGCTAAAACCTGGTCCCGGCCTCAGAAAGTGGTCAAGGAGCGCGCGCGGCGCCGGAGCGCGGCCGGGTAAGGGGAGCCGGGCAGGTCCGCTCGGTTCCCTGGCTCGTCGAACCCGCCGCCCCCGGAAAGGGCCGCGAGGTCTCTACTCCGCGCCCCGAAAGCTGCCCTGCTCCCGCAGAGGCGGCGGGGACCGCTCGGGCCGCGCTCTCCTAGGGGGACGGGGTGGGGAGGCAGCGTACTGCTGACTCCGTCTCCCACCCTAGAGGAAGCCAGAATGAGCAACCTTCCGGCGCCTCGCGGGGTTCCCCGCACCCCTCGTTGTGGAGCCTCGGCCCCCGGACTCGGGGCTGCGCTGCGAAGCTCGTACTCGTGGCGCTCTCGGCTAAATAGAGATCTCAACCGCGCGCCGCGCCCGATCCGACCCTGCTTATTATAACAAATGTCCCGTTTGCCGTGCGGGACTTCATATTCGCCGAGAATTCATCTGAAATATTGATTTCCTCTCACTTCGCCGGCCCAAATCGATAGCGTTGCGCCCTGGCCCCATAAATCGCCTTCCCCGCGGCCCGCCCGGCTCCATCCATCACCGCGGGCCGGGCCGCGCCTCTGCCCTATGTCCACACTTGCTGCGCGCCGGGGCGGCCGTGCCCACCGCGCCTACCGTGCCCACCGCGCCCGCCGGCCCCGACCCTGGGGCTCGGTCTCCGTAACACTTTCCCCCTCAACACCCCCCCATCCCCACCCCACACACAAAACCCCGGCCTGGGCCAGGAGGCGGGGAAGAGCAGGCGCCGCGGCCAGGGACCCCCGAGCGCTTTGGAAGGCCCTGGGCCGGGTCACCGCTGGGGAGGGAGGTTCGGCCCCGCGGGCCGCCCAGTGCTCGCAGGCCGGACGCCCCGCGCTCGGCTCCCCGCCTGCCCCAGGCTCGGCAAGGAGGAGTCCGAGAGCAGCCGAGTGCACTCAGAGGCCCCCCAGGCCCGGACCACGGGCTTCTTTCCCGCCGGCTTGAGGGGTGCGCGGGGCTCACGGTCCCGCCGGGGCAGCCAGGGGCAAGAGCTGCGCGCACCCGGGCACAAGGGCTTAGAGGTCGGGGGCGGCCCAGGGCCTGAGAGGTACAGGATGTCCTCCCTCATGGGACATGCAAGACGGGGGTGGGGCGCGAGGGACACCCCTCTGACCGGCACGGAGAGCTCCTCACCTCCGTGTGGTCCGCAGAAACCAAGGCCTGGGGAGGGCGGCTCGCCGGGCCGAGGGGGACCTCGGGGCCTGAGAACGGCGAGATGGCCGCAGCGGAGAGCTAGGCCAGCGGCGCCCCCAGCTGCGTCCCCGCGCAGGTGGGTCCCACGAGCCCGAGCGTCAGCTCCCCAGCCCCACCGGCCCGAGCGCACGCACGAACGCACGGCGACGCGGGGGCTCCGGGGCCTCGGCAACGCCGCGTCCTTACCGGATCTGATGGAGTTGTGAGGCATCGCCGGGGAGTCGCTCGCAGCCCGCCGAGGGCTCAGGGCTTCCTCACGCAGGTCCCCGCCGCGCCAGCCGCCACGCCGCTGCCCTGCACAGACCCAGGGGAAGGGGCATGAGATTCGATGTCCCCTATCTTATGCCTTCCCCGGGCCCTATCCCTTAGGCTGTCATCACGTGGCAGGGGTCGGAGGATTTTTTAGGCGAAGGGTGGCCCACTTCGGCCTGGCTAACACACGTTTGCCCGGAGGATCCGGGATTAGGGGTCCTCTGAGGAAGCCCCAAACTCCAGCCCAGTGCCCTCTTCCCCTGTTGCCCCAGCCTTATCCAGTTTAACTTAGGACGGGAAAGGCTGCCTGGCTCCCTGGGCCCCTCTCCCTTCTCGAATCACCGCTGTTCCCCAGTCAGCTTTCAGCCAACCCCTGGGCAGCATACCTGGCCAGCCGGCCGCAGGCCCTCACTGCCCGGGTCAGCCCGCGAGGGTGCCCTGGGCCCTGCGTCTCTCCTCGTTCTGAAGTTTGTTCCCATCCACCCGGCATCACCGACCGGTTTTATCCCGCCAGGGCCCTGAGAGATGGGTCTGGAGAGACTCGCAGGCCTCGGATTGGCTGGCTGGGTGCAGGGGGGTGCGGGAAGGGGAGGATTTTGCAAGGGGGACATGGCTGAGTGGACTCAGGAGTTAGAAACATTCGCTGGAGCTTCTGTTTCCAGCGGAGAGAGGAGAGGGAGGCCTCTGAGCCCTACCTCAGCAGGCCTGGAAATATTGGAGGAGTGGGAGATGGAGGCCTCAGAGCCTGAGGATGAGGGTCTCTGGTTCCTCCTGGGGTCACTGACCACCAGAAGTGAGACACCCTGCATCCCTTCTCTCACCCCCTGCTCCCCTCTGGGGAAGCAGCTTTTTCTTTTATAAGAGGGAACTTTTGTTTTTAAGCCTGTTTCTTAAGGCAGAAGAAACCTGCAAATAGGGCTGGAGACAGGAAGGCCCCACCTTCTCACCACAGGTGTGGACTTCTTCCAAGGCAGAACCCTGAATAGCCCCAGGACCCAGAACCCAGAACCCATAGTCTCCAACTTACCCAGACAGGAGCCACACCCTCACACCATTAGATTAATGAAAATGGTCCCATAACCTTTTGGACAGGGCTTCTCCTCTTTCCAAACACACACAGCCACCAGCCAGTCCTCTTTCTTGCCCTTTGAGGATTTTGAACTTGGGAGAACAGCTCAGAGGGCGGGCATTGAGGGTTTAGATCTCACTTCAGCATGGAAGGGTGTCAGATGGGGACAGGACTGAGCTGACCTCTGGCCTAGTCTGGGGGAATCGGCAGCCTTGGGAGCTGGGGGTCCTGGGTGGGGAGAAGTAGGGGTGTCTTGGGTGGGAATGAGCTGCCTCCTCTTTGGTCACAGGTTTTTCTCTTCTGTCCGGGAGGCTGGGTCCAGGGAAGATTGTGTGTGCCAACAAACGTGTTGGAACACCTTACAGGCTGGGGTGGGGGTGGGGGCAGGGACTGGATGCTCCCCAGTCTCAGACCAGATGGCCACACTCAGGAGCACAACTCCCTCGCCTGGAGGGACTGCTGCAGGATACAGAGGCCAGAGATGGCCGAGTGAGAGGGGAGGTGAATGGGCAGAGGGAACAGGTTATTCAGGGGGATGTGCGTGTGTATGTACATGTGTGTGCGCCCGTGTGTGTAAAAACACTATTTTTCTTAATGAAAAAATAAAGTTTTATCTTTCAGGTTAATCCGCTTCTTCCTCCCACCCAGACTTTCTCGATTTAGTAGAAATTAATCATTTTGTGAAAAGAAAGAGAAGAGAATATGCATATCTCTGAATGGATCCTCCACATTTGTAACAAGGACTCTAAACAAAAACAATAGGGGCATTTAAATAACAATTGTTATTTAAAATTGCTCTGTAGTTTCCAAATGTCCAGCTACTGTACTTCTCTGGAAAGGCCCCCTGGAGAGAGAAGATCAAGGGTGTTGGGATGGAAGTGGACCTCAGTGCAGGTCTCGTGGACACCACCATGGGCCAGCTGGCCACTCCGGTGCCCGCTCAGCCTCTGTAGGGGAGCTGTGGGGAAGTAGAGGTGAAGGCAGACTGTCCACTCAGGCTCCCTCCCACTGAGGAGGCTGTGCCCAGGTGAGTCCGACAAGCTCTGACCCAAACAGTTCTGCAAACCTCAGAGGGTCTTCCCAAGTCAGGGGGCTGCTAGGTACCAATCACCATGGAAACTCATGCATCCATTCTTGCCAGTGCTTTTCTCCCCCCCTCCCCAATTGACAAAACAAATCCAACCCCCCTCCCTTTTCTGGCAAACATTCTCAAAGGACAAAAACAGCAACTTATCAAAACATTCTTGTCTCATTTGTGAGCTCATTTAAAAAAGTAATTTAAATATGAAAATGAAAAGTGCAAAAAGCCCATTCACACGTCATGAGAACACCCCTTTCCCAGACTACAGGTGACAGCAGGTGGCCAGGAGGAGACCCAGCACAGAAGTTCTAGAGCTAGCAAGCAGTAAGAATACAGTAAGCCCTGCTGAGGAGATAAACCCAGGCCTCGCAGTGCTTTCTAATTACAATCAGAAATCAGGCCTGGGTTCCTTACTGCTTCTTATTTCCCTGCCACCAAGATCAAGAAAATGGTTATTTTTAAAATTTTATTTTTAAAGATTGTTATTTATTTGACACAGAGAGAGAGAGCACAAGCAGGGGGAGTGGCAGGCAGAGGGAGAGGGAGAAGCAGGCTCCCCACCGAGCAAGGAGCCTGACTTGGGGCTGGGTCCCAGGACCTGGGGATCATGACCTGAGCCAAAGGCACATGCCCCCAACTGAGCTACACAGGTGCCCCAAGAAAATAATTATTAATCAGCACCCCAACTCAAACTCTTTGACATCACTCTCCTCCTTTGCAAAATGAGAGTTTGAAATATATATTTAAATATTTAAGTTAAATATGTTAAAATATATTATGTCTATTTAAATAAGAAAATATATATTTGGAAAATTCATATCCGTGATTTTAGTTACGCATAAAAATCTTAAGCCTTCCTCTGATGTTACTTAATATTTCAAAATAAATTTAGCATCACGAATGAGAGACTCTTGGATCAATGGTACATTTAGAACACACTTTTAAAAACCAACACCTCCTTCTCCAGCTTTTCTTAGATTTGGTGCCTATAAGGTTTTCATGCTGAGATTATCAGCTGGCAACCTGTGGTTTAAACCCAGTTACAATTTTTTTGAACTCAGTGTTTTTCCAAGAAAATGTAATTAATTGCTAATATGAAATTAGAGAAGAAAGAGTAACTCTGGCTTGCCTTTAAAAATTGGACAGATCTGGCCACAGATCTGAGTGTTTCTTTGTGGAAATAAGTGTTCTTTCAGATTTAACATTCAAAGAGTTTGAAATACATGCCAGGTATAACTGCCTAACTCCCCTGAGTATTCTGCGATTTTTTTTTTTTTTTTAAGTTGACCTGCTGAGCTTTCAAAAGATGATCTTTCTTTCCAGGACTCGGCCGACATCGGCAGAACTAGCGGTCAGGGTTTGCCAGGGATGAGACCGAGGGCATTCCCTAGATGTGGGATTTTCAGTGCTAAAACCAAGCTGCCCTAAGCACACCAGTTGGCCCTCATAGCTGACAGAACTGGGAAAGAGGGTGGTTTGGGGTTTTTATAAGCAGCTCAGAGTTTACAGGGCCTACTGGGGTGGCTGTTTAATTGCACAGGTGGAATCCTATCACCTTCTGGCTCAGGCTCCTTGGCCCCTTGAACTCCAGGATGGGCCATGGGCCTTACTTCTTAATCCCAAGACAGGGAGGGAATCTGGGACTCCCTCTCCCACTTTGACATGAAGTCTCAGAAGTTCCTCTATCCAGACCAGCCAGAGGCCAGCCTTGGGGGAGGATCCCTGCCCCCCAAGCCCTCCTTGCTTACCTGCCATGCCCCCTTTCCCCACATGGGAAACAATTCTGGGACTAAAGTGCATTTCCTGGGAAGAAACCAGCAGCTCTCTGTTAAGAGGTAGAAGGTGGGCGTTTCAGCCCTGGCTATGTGAAACAGGGCCATCTCCTTTCTCTGAGCCTCACTTGCTTATTCAGTAGGATGTGGGTGCAGGTGGGGAGTGAGGAGGGTACGACCTGCCTCATAGATTTGTTGCAGGATGAACAGAATTATGAATGTGGAAGCCCTTTGGAAACTACACCTCTGCACAAAAGTTAATTATTGTTAGGCAACAAAGACCAGGCAATACTTTCAAGAAGGGCGGAATTATAACTCCTCTGAAATTTTGCTGGAGAAGTCCATTCCTTTAATCCCCTCCCAAAAGCACCGAGAGTTTTTCAAACAGCCCTGTGACCCACAGGGTGATGGACAGGTGAGCTGTGGGACAGGAAAGCCCGTGTGCTGTGGGGGTGGGGTGGGCTGCTGTGGGGCCGGGGGTGTCTGTGAGGGGAACAGTGTATGGTTTGACCCACCAAAGGAGGAGCAGAGCCAATGGCAGAAGGGGAGGGCAGAGTTCCCAGCCTCGCCGACTTCCCCCCTTCACAGAGGGCAGAAGTGTTGAGGGCACCTGCAGGTTGTGCTCCACCTGTCCCCCTCCCAGCCGTGCCCAGTGGGGCTGTCGCCTCATGGGATCTCTACCCTGTCCCCACACCTCAGGAAATGGCTGACAGCCTGCCCGGAGGCCTCCTGGTGGCCCTGGCCCTGCTGGAGAATCAATCATTAATGAGCCTCTGCTCCACCCCTCCCCCTCAGGCTGTCCAAACACAGGAATAGAAATACAGGTCCTGGCGGGTGAGAGGAAAGGCCCGGGTGTGCAAGGCAGTCTGGAAAAAGCCACCATCGGCACTGTTTGTCGGTTGGTTTTGAGTTGGAGATATGTCCTGGGCACGTGTATCTCAAGCTCTTTGCCTACCCTGCAGTCTTTTGGTGACTGCCCCCGGGGTGTCTGGAGGACCCCTGAGTAGGAAAGAGCTTCACTGGGGAAGCAGAGAGGAAGGTGACAGAAGGAAAGAACAGGAACAACATATACAGGCAGAGCACGTCAACTTTTTTCTAGTTTTAATAGCTTTTT